TCATTATGAGAATAGCGAGAGAAAAAAACGCTTTGACTTGCGTTTCTATACACTATAACACCCTTTAAGGTCTCGACACATATTATATCCATCCAATCGTTCGTGTATACATACTATACATACACACCACACTGAATTACGATGCACAATGGGTGCTTGTTGGGAGTACTCATGCTCGGAAGTCGTTTGTTATAGTCAATCGCGTGGAAGTGAAAATTGATAATATAGAGTATTGTAATTCCGGCGGTGACATGACAATTGCGACGTGGCCTGGTTATGCAGGGAGACGATTTACGTAAAAACAGACTGTTGTCCGAAAGTCTGTTTTCAGAACTTTTACACGCCTCAGCAGCTGAGCCTGTAGCTTTTACTGAGTCCATATTTTACAACGCTTGTTTAAATATTATATCGATGGAACATTACATAACGATATGGTTATTAAAATTACCCAACAAAATTTTAATGTGAGTTTGAAACCGTTGCTGTATTAAGGCCAAGTAACTAACATTTTTATAGGAATGCTAAAACTTAAAACTGTTGAATATTTACCCACGTTAARATCACTGATACTTAAATACTGAAATATATAATTACCAGTATTAAAAGCTAACGAGAAAACTCATTTAAACAGTTTGCTTATTGTTTTTACGACACAAAATCTAAAACCAGTAAATTCATGTCAAATCCAACTTAAGCCCTAATGGTATTCAATTCAATTAATAACCGAAAAAGTAAAAACTTCATAAATTAAATAAAATATTCATCGGATTCATTAGCAATAAAAACAAAATATATAACGTACTTGTTTTTACATAATACATTTGGGTAGGTATTGTACTTGAAACCAAAATTGTTGTATWTAGATTACCACTTATAAATAAGAAAATGGACAAATTTTAAGTGATTATAAAGTTTCACCGTTGGTGATTAAAATTATAGACAATATATCAAGTCTACAATACGTGAAAATGAATTATACTATTGGTCATTACCGATTTAACCGTATTTGAACCGATGAACTCGAAACGTTGGATTACACCCATCTCCGAACCCACTACGTCTTCACAGCGGTCGTWTATAACCTATATGATATACGTCCTATAATATGCTCCACGTCATTTTTCCTCATCCWAAGTTTCCCCTGAGGATGTTCTCTCCCCCCCCCCATCACCATGACGCTATGCGGACGACGATCACAGCTGTTACCCCTCTATAGGTTCGACTAATGCGGCTGTCAGTAAGATTAAATGTTTGACTTATTTTTTTTTTCCTTAACCCGATCATCTCTATAATATGGTGTGGGTTGTGTGGAACCAGTCAAAATCCCCGATCCTCGATCCCGCGGGGTCTAAGAGGGTTAAAAATAATATTATTTATAAATAATATATCGAAAACCTTTTCTGCACCAGTAGATGTGCATATTAACGTAWTGCCGTGTTTGATGATATTATTTTACTATGATGTTTTAATGTGTAAAAAAGAAAAAGAAAAATAGCACAGAACTAATGGGTTATGCGGGGGGGGGAGGCGGGATTAAGGTCGAAGGTTGTGTTTCGGTGTACTGTGGAGGCGCAGGACTCGCCGTCAGTATCGTCGAGCGCACTCACCATGACATCGATGCCGAGCGTCCGAATCATGCGGTCCACGGCCGGCCACTTGAGGAACGTGTAGAACGCCGTGCCCTGGAACGTGTCGCCGGCGTTGAGGAACAGCGTGCCGTCGACGGTACCGGCGTCGGCGTGTCGGCGCTCCCGGTCGACGGCCGTCTTGAGACGCGGGAAACCGCCGTAACACTGCTGGCCGGACACGCTGCACTCCGCGCCAATCGCGTCGATCTGATCGAAACGCGAGTGCATGTCGTTGGTGTGCAACACGAGCAACCGGTAACGAGCGGCCGCCGTGGACAGAAGTGACAGGAATAGCACCGAGGTCCGGARCACCCGGGACCACTGCGGGCCACCAGCCATTTCTGTGTCGCTCAAAACTGTTGCGATCCGTATGGCTATATTATTATACCTGTACTATATATTAAGCGTATCGTWACGACGACGATCGCGAGTAACTATTTACGCATAACTTCGTTCGGTTTGTCACGCGCACGTTCGTCTGCGTCCGCATCCGCATCGTATACAACGGACGGACGACATGAGGATTTCGGCTCACCATCCGGACGGACTCCCCCTCCACACCCGCCAGACACGCTTACCGAACGCTCTCTTTCCCATCACACGCGGACTATCACTCCCACCAACATTATCACCAGGGAACTTCCACTATATAACGTTAACTAATATGTAATACCTACGCATGCAAGTCCACGCCGTATAGCCCTCAATAATATCAAATCAAATTTGTGATTTGTGCGTATTATACAGAGTGGATCTGGTTTATCATCGTTGTTGTCGTTTGGTTATGATCTTGTGACGCGTGTCTATACAACTTGCGTGAACATCGAATTATTCAAAAAATTTCAAGTCCTATGAAATGGCGGATCAATTATCGTTGAAATTCGTTTTCTATCTATTCATATATAGATAAATATATCACGTTAGACATTCTGCGTATTATTATATAGGTAGACACAATAACATTATTGTGTCCGCAAATAATATATATATATATATATATATATAATGTTTTATTAGATATTATGCTTATACTTACCTACCTAAAATCTGATAAAATTAAAACAAATAGGTACTTATAGAAACGTGTGTTTATTTCAAAACCACCGCTGAAAAATCTCCCGATTTTTCATTCGATCTCTCCTCAGTTAAACAATTCTAATTATCTAAGTTTTAAGCACCTACAATATTTATAATTGGACCAGAGTTATACAAAACTATTTATCTTATCAACATTTGAACCAGAAAAATAATTCTGTTTTAGAAATCATACACAACCACCAAACATCGGTAATACCTAATACCTGCATCATGTGTAATAAGAATARCTAATAATAATACTATATTATCTGTATAACACTTAATATATTTAAAAATTTAGGTAAGTACTAATAACTAACCATCTACTGTACTCGCCAAGCGACGTTTTATTTTATATTATAATATTATTATTTGTTTTTCATTCTTATTCGTTCACTTTAAACAATAAAAATGTTATCCATATTTGATATTATTAATATAAAGGTAATTATTATGATCGATTTTGATCTTCAATTTTTTTTTATTCGCCCTAAAGATATTGAGATTAGATTATTATTTTCTGACATTTAATCTACCAATAACTAGGTATATGCTCTACTGTGCACCCCCTATATGTAAATTTATCCTGTCAACGTTCAATCGTTTATACAACGACGTTGACGAAGTTTTTTATCCTCATTTATTTCACATTATGCTAAACGTATTTCCCTCGACTCTTTTCCGATGCAAACGCTCTGTTTATGCGTCTCCTGAGACCATTTGACTAGCTCCGAATTGCACGCCGTTATATCGTAGACCGTTTTACGGGTGTATATAATATTATACGCTTTCCAAATGACTTGTACGTAAAAACAAACGTTTTGATCAGGTCTACACGCTTTGTCAAATCAACGATGTCGACAACATCTGGATAGTTGTATAAACAATAACGAGTTTTCGAAACTCATGATAATGTCACCAGCAATAATACCATTATAGTATTAAATATTTAATATAAATTATAATCAACTTCCACCGCTACTCATTTGCCACCAGAAGCGTTTTGATGAACTTCCAGTATCATGAACCACCGACGTTCTTGTTATAATGTCTCTATCATACGAAAACTATGATGCCGATCAATCAAATTGTATGGTATAGTAAAGTTATAAATTCTATGTTAATTTATTGTGCAATAAAAATATATTACACTCGTTTATTAATCTAATTCTTTTTTTTTTTTTTTATCGAATTCTGAGAAATTATATTATATAATTACGACAACGAACATCTGCGTGCTTTGTTGTACCTAGTGTCTTACTGACCCATTTTTATCATTATACCGGATTAATAATATTGCTGTCTATTCAAAAATTACAATCTAGCATTTGATGACACCGTGCCACCATAATTTGTCAGATAGCTTATCGGTTTTATTTGTATCCCGCAGTTTTTTTTTTTTTTATGGAATGGAGTTCAGTCATACAAAATAATATTTAAGAGATAAAATTTCAGATTCACTGATATATTACATACTATTCTAATAATGTAATTTATTATCTAGTTCAATTTTTAAACGTTTATGCTTATTATTGTATTTTTATCACTGATATAATAATTATATCATTGATTATTATAATGATATCATATTATATGATATCATAATATATGGATAACGATTAACGAGCGTAGAAGTCTTTAAATATTATTATTTTATCATAATTTATGTTATTAAATTTAATTAGGTGGGTACCAGGTTATTTCGTAGCACAGTATTTCTGTATAGTAATATTACAATTGGAATTTCACCAATCCAGTATTATTTATCTTTATTTGTTATTTGCTAATAATATTATTGTTGATTATATTCGCTACAATATGAGTCATTAATAATTTATAKTTAATAATATACTATTATTTCGTAATCCTAAGCTGCTCGGCTAATACTTAATAGTGGTACTAAAAAGTAAGGGTATAAAAATTCAAATATTTTAAGCACTTGTACCTATACAGAGGAGAAAAAATAGTGCTCTATATGACCATTTCCAAGGAATTTTTATACTTCCTGGAGGGGGGGGGGTTTAGGTATTTGGGACTCGTTTGTCAATTGTTAAATTATTTAGCCCTGATGGTAGGTAAACAATACATACTACTGTATCATAATTAAAATATTAATTTTAACTACATAAGCATACTCAGTAGTACTACAATTGTAAATATTGCATTATTAAATTGGAAAATATATAACATGTGAAGGCTTTGCACCCATATAATAATTAACTTAGATTTATCTATTATTATACATATTATATTAAAAATTTAAAATCTATTTTAATCTAAAAAAAATTATGTAATGTATTATGTTAAATATATTAAAATAAGTTTCTATTTTTCTGTTTTCCATACCTACATCAAATTTAATACAACAATTTAAAAATATTCCACAATGATTTTTTTTTGTTTGTTTCACTTTTAATAGTTTTTTTTCGAATAGTCGGGAGACCTTTGATGCAACCGCCAACTTCTAACATAATATTTGGCTAGGTTTCATATATAATTAAGAGCTGCACCATTTATATTGATAAATTTAAAATTTGACATATTTTATTCATTAAACTAAATTCTAATTCACATTCTGCTGTAGAAACAGGCAGTGTTTTGATAGGGATATTTAATTTTTGTATTTCTTTGTTAATTGCGATTGTATGGATTAAATGTCTTATTTCTTGAACTAGAACAGAGGGTGTTAAATAGGTGCTTATTATTATTATTATTATTATTATTATTCAGTTAAAAATCTATGATCCAATCGTTGTATTTCATTTTCATTAGGTATGTCTTATTATCATTATCTCTTTACCATATTTTTTATTTAAATATTGCACATCGTTAGAATATTAATTTTTCATTTTCATTGTTCTCAAGTAAATAGGAATATAGATTATTACTACACTAGTCATGAACTGATTTGGGTTTGAACAAATAAATTTTTGATTTTTAGTCAAAGTGATAAAACACGCAAATACTTAATATTTATATTATTAATTTGGTTTGTTGTTGTTTTTTTTTTTTTTTGAGCTATGAGTATAAGAAAAAATCAGACATTTTTAAATTACATTACTTATTATGGYTATCATGCAATAGGCTACGATCGCATACCAGCGTATTTGTTTTATTTATTTCCCTATAATACGTATCATTCAAGAATTTCAGCATTTTGAGTATACTCTCTATAATAAATCRATGAATATACTGTTATAGTAATATAATAATGAGATAACACGCCAACCATATTATAAACTAAGCATTTCATATTGTATACTTGTCAATAACATATGCCAACAACTCAGTACCATAATAGCATAATAGATCTATTAAAAGGTCTATGCTCTAGGCATAATGTATAATATAACTATTGGGTTGAGTATAAACTGCAGTTTCACAATATAATYTAATTAATAATATTTTGTAGTGTGCCTGTAAGTGATAGATATCACATWATAATTAATTGCGTAAGGGATAATTTCGTTTTATTAAATTGGAAATTGTTTATGTACATAGTAAATACCTATAATCTAAAAATATCATTCTTATATTTGAAATTATACTTGTAGGTACGCATATTCATTATAATTTATTATGATGTTATCATCACCTCGACGTCACCATAAGATTAGAGTACTCTCTTCATAGGGCGTTACAATAAATTATATTATTTATTATTTATTCTCAAACAAACACACGTTTATCAAAATCAGTTGTGTTCATTATTGTAATGCAAATTATATAAGTAGTAACTAGTAAGATACTAACTGTATAATAATAAAAGCACATAAATACTAGACTTACTAGAGGGAAATATACAACTGATAAAGTTTGTGAGCCTTAGGACAAATTCGAATATATTATGAATTAATATATTAATTTTAACGTCAAAATAAGAGACTTACGGATACAAAATACTGTTGCATACTAACATAATAATACAATAATAATCATGAAAATTCTGAAAGATTTTAAAAACTGTAGCTTAAATATTTACAGTATCAATAGAATAAAATAATATTTTAGTTGTTAAAATTCAATTGTATACTTATGATAATTCTTAGAATTACAACATAATTTCAGTACTACAAATAAATTTTCAAATTACATTGTAATGTATCCTAAAAAAATATATTTATTTTCTCGTAGGTACTCGAAAATTAACGATCGTACAATAATTTGTGTTACTGATTTTAATTGATTGACGGCCGTAAACATTTTGTATTGATACAACAGAACATATTGAAATAATAATTTAATGGATAATTTTAATATTTAATTTAATTTTGTTATTATATGATTAATATTGCAATAGCAAATTTAACTTTCACATGTGGAACACTCATTTATTAATATTTTGAACATCAAATAATACCATGCATCTTAAAATATTTTATATACGAGTCTAATAATATTATGATTACCTATATTCATGATTATATTATGAGTTTCGGTTGAATTATTATCGTAACTTTTATATGGATTG